ATTATTGTTCTTGGATCTTACGCAATGAGAATTGGATCATAATAAGATCATGATAATAAGACCAATTCATCTATAAACACATACCATAAATATTCCTAATCATAAGTTACTCAAGAAAGACATCAAAATAACTAGATAAACTAGTGTGCTTACTATATACCTGGCATATAATGAAGGTAGCTAGTCTCACAACTGTTTGTGTGAGACACTAGGGATATAATACATGTGTTAATTAACGAATGAATTCACTGAATGATCTACTTGTGGAATGCTGGTTGGTTAATAATGTCTCATAATTAGATAGTGATTTGGTAGTCCGAGTTGTGTGTTTGATTCTTAGACTTAGACACCAAGGATGCAATGTATGAGTACTCCACTTTTTAATACTAAACATATAGGTCTATGAGTTCCAGATTTAGCACAACCGGTCATCGAGAGTCATAATCAACATTACAAAGGTAATTGGGTGTCAATAAAGGGTCATCTACTCTCAGTATTATAAGAGGAATATCTCATATATTCTCACTTAAGTAAATTCATAACCATGGTCAATTAGATCATGATGAATATGATATCATGAGATTCGGATTGAGAGAGAATAAGTTCTTTAGGAGAATTCGATTAAAGTGAGACTTTGATAAATTTTATATGGGCCAAATAGGGTCATGCTCAATATATGATCTCTAGGGTATTAGATAGATGAGAGAATATAAACACATGATAATTAAGGGTAAACAAGTTTAATGAATTAGATCGCCTTGTATTTTCTACTCATTGGTGCCCTACAAACCAATCACATGAGTGATGACACGTGTGACACGATACATACTCTTTTTACTTATTATTTATTTGATATTTTTCTCACTTATATTATTGCATATATTGTGATGTCCATAGATCTCTACAATGAGAGTCGGATCATGACAAGATCACGATAATGAGACTGATTTATCCTTAAACACATATCCTAAATAATCTCAATTATAGGTTACTCGAGAGGGACATCGAGATAATCAAACAGGCTAGTGTATTATATATTCGTTGATATGATGGAGACGATTGATCTCATAGCTGCTCGTGTGGAGATACTAGAGATACGATGTAGGTGCTCATTGGAGAATTAGTTTACTGATTGATCCGCTCATAGAATGTTGGATGGTTGATAATATCTCATTGTCAAACAATGATTTCATCGTCTTAACGGTGTATCTAGTCCTTGGACTTGAGACACCAAGGATGTCTTATATGAGTATTCCACTATTTGATACCAGATTTATATGTCTAGAAGTTCTAGATCTAGCATAGCCGGTCATTGAGAGTGGTTGCCAATCTTATAAGGGCAGTTGAGTATAAATAGAGGATCATCTGCTCTCAATGTCATGAGAGAAATATCTTATGTATTTTTGCTTAGGCAAATCCCTTGTTAGGGTTATTCGGATTGAGAGATTAAGAGTTTTATGAGAGAATCCGATTAGAGCGAGACTTGAGTATAAACAGTTTGGGTCTGATAGTACCATGCCCAATATATGATATATAAGATATTAGATTGGATTGAGGATAGATAGGTCAAATAGATTGGATTCCCCTGTATCGTTTGAGGATTGTGGCATAGTGGCATAGTATGCCCGTAGTCGATGAGTCAAGTGAATTATTATGAAGATAATAATTTACTAAACCAAAAGGAGCTCTGATAGATATGACTCATGACCAACTCGATATTGGGCCTAAAGGGTCACACACATATAGTAGATGTTGCGATGAGTAGAGGTTCAGATATAAGATATCCGCTAGAGCTCCTATCTTATTGGATATCTAATAAGCCTTTGAATTATTGGATATCCAATAAGAGCCAATAAGAGATTATTGGATAGAGATCTACTAATTTAATAGGCTTGGGTAGTTGGATGAAGATCCAATACCCAATAGGATATGATCCATTAGAGTTAAGATTGATAGGGGGTCATATGCTAGGTTTCTTGGTTGTCACCTCCTATCCTTTATTGCGTCTCCTCTATTTGGAGAGGAAAAGAGATCCTTTGGTTCTTTTATATTTATAAAGTCTCCCTATCAACTTAACCCAAATGGATCTTGTCCTATTGGATATTAGATCTCTATCCAACTACCAAAGTCTCTTAGATTAATGGATCTCTATCTAATAATCTCTCATTGGCTCTTATTGGATCTCGTCCATAGGATCTAATAATTCATGGGCTTATTGGATATCAAATAAGATAATGGCTCCAACGAATATCTAATATTCGAACATTTGCTCGTCACAATACCTATCATATGTGTGTGACCCTTTAAGCCTAATATCGAATTGGCCATGAGTCATATCTATCATAACTCCATCTGGCTCAATAGACTATTATCTTCATAATAATTCACTCGACTCATCGATTGCGGATGTACTATGCCATTACGTTGTAGTCCCTAGACAATACAGGAGAATCCAATTCTTTGGACCTATTTATCCTTAGTTACTGTGTACTTATAGTCCCTCATCCATCTAATATCATAGAGACCGTATACCGAATATGGTGCTATCAGGCTCATACGGTTTCTCCTCGAGTCTCGCTCTAATTGGATTCTGTTGAAGTACTCACTTTTTTCTCAATCCAAATAACTTTGTCAAGGATTTGTTTAAGCAAGAACACATAGGATATTTCTCTCATGATATCGAGAGTGGATGATCCTCTATCGACATTCAATAGCCCTCGTAAGATTGGTTGTCACTCTCGATGATCTGGAACTGGAACTTCCAAACTTATAAGTCTAGTATCAAAGAGTGGAGTACTCATATAGAACATCATTGGTATCTCAAGTCTAAGGACTATATACACCACGGGAACAACAGAATCACTTTTTGATAATAAGATATCATCAACCATCCAACAGTGAGTAAATCAATCAGTGAACTCATTCTCTAACGAGCATATACATTGTAGTTATAATGTCCTCACACGAGCAACTATGAGACCAACCATATTTATCATATGGATGGGTATATAACACACAAGTCTTTTTGGTTATCTCAATGTCCATCTCATATAACATATAACTAGGATTATTTAGGGTTTATGTTTAAAGGTGAATCGATCTCATTATTATGATCTCATCATTCCTATTACACAGATCCATGAATATTACAATATACTTATGTATCAAGCAATATAAAATGATAAAATATCATAATAATAATAAACAAAAAGAATACATATCATACATGTTATCATTTACATGTATGACTAGCAAAATACTGATATTTCACTTGTTGTTTACTTATTTTACTTAATTCTTAACATTTGATTTATGTGATCCATGACTTCCAACTGAGAATGATGTTTTTGCTTTGTTTGAAGGTAAAATCAACAAATGATGACACTTTGACAATGCTCTTGTGGAGTATTTGCTGAATGAATTTAGAAGAACCGAGGGGATGGATTTGTCGTCGGACCGCTGGCTTTGCAGACGCTGCGAGAGGCAGCTGAAAAGGGTAAGATTGAGCTGTCCTCGACATCCCAGACTGATGTCAATCTACTTTTCATAACAGCTGATGCATCTGGAGCGAAGCATATGAACACAACGATGACATGATCAAAGTTCGAGTTTTTGGTGAAATCACCTGGTTGAGAGGACTCGAGACCCATGCAAGATGTGTCTGAAGAATGCTGGAATATCCACCAAAGATGTTGAAGAGGTTCTCCTAGTAGGTGGAATGACCAGAGTTCCAAAAATTCAAGAGGTGGTTGCTGAGATTTTTGGTAAGAACCCAAGCAAGTGGGTAAACCCGGATGAAGCTGTTGCACTGGGTGCTGCCATTCAGGGTGGTATTTGACGAGGAGATGTCAAGGAGCTGCTCCTTTTAGATGTCATTCCTCTGTCACTTGGTATCGAAACCCTTGGTGTCATCTTCAGCAGATTGATCAATAGGAACACAAAAATTCCTACAAAGAAAAGTCAAGTATAACATTGTTTGATCTATGTCTTGCAAATACTCTGTCCTTCCCTATGTAGTTCTAGTGGCATCCTAGTGAAACCTTAAGCTCCTGCCCCTATGCATTCATAGTCTTCCTAGATTCTGATATGCTTTCATTTTAATGCTAACTTTTGTAGGTGTTTTCTACCGCTGCTGACAATCAAACTCAAGTTCGCATCCGCGTGCTGCAAGGCGAGTTTGAACTTGTGGGAATTCCACCAGCACCCAGAGGCATGCCGCAGATTGAAGTTACGTTCGTCTTTGGCAACCGGAAAGGAGCAGCAAATCACTATTCGGTCTTCAGGTGGGCTGTCGGAGGAGGAGATTGAGAAAATGATTAAAGAAGCTGAATTGCACGCACAGAGAGACCAGGACAGGAAAGCTCTGATCGACGTCAGGAACGCTGCCGATACAACAATATACAGCATCGAGAAGAGCTTGGACGAGTACAGAAGTAAGATTCCAGCTGCAGTTGCGTCGGAGATAGGGTCAGCGCTAGCGGACCTGCGGAAAGAGATGACGGGGGACGACATAGAGAGGATAAAGTCCAAGCTTGACGCAGCAAACAAGGCCGTGTCGAGGATAGGGCAACAAATGGCTGGAGGCTCCGCTGGGTCGCAGGGTGGTGGTGATCAGACGCCGGAAGCAGAGTACGAGGAAGTAAAGAAGTGAAAGCGTCGACGGGTAAACCGGCTTGTACTGTACATTGTTCACTGTTCTTGTGTTTCTTGATGTAATAAGAGTTGGAGTGCTGAGTGCTGCAAACGTCTTCTTGTTCATACGGAGTTCTCACCCATTGGTATTCCTGTGGATAGAGTTTGCCGAAGACGTGGCGTGTGCTTTGCTTTCTGGCTTGGGAACCCAAATCTCAATTCCTGAGAGAGAAGCTGCGATGGGGAATGCGATGACGGGGAAGACTCAACAAGCACTCTTCACAGTCTGGCACGTGCAGATACAAAGAAGAGAAAGCTGATGACACGCACGGATAACCTTGTGGATCACGTATGTATGCCATTTTACGGCTCCATTCACTCGAACGATTCATATTAAAGTTTGGCGTTGTAGATGTAGCGAGATTGAATGACGTCCGCCCCAAATAATTAGCATCCAGAAAATTCAAATATATCGATTTTTTCTATATTTTTATCGTTATTTTATTTACAGATTTATGAGTAAAAAGAGGCAGTGCGTAAAACAAATACATGAACAAATATGAGACGTCCGATCCTCTCCAACGTCGGACGAGATTAACTTTACAGGTGGCACGTCCATCCGCCCACGGCAGCCGCTTTCTTGTCCCGTTGCACCTGTGCACCCACAAATCGTCACCCGATACAGTTGACGGTTCCACGTACCCGATTCATCTCCTCCTCTATAAACGCATCTTTGCCCCTCGTCGACCAAAGTCCCCAAAGGATTAGGAGAGGAGACAGCGAGGGAGATAATGGCGGAGACGATGGACATTTCGTACTCCAAGAAACGTGGCCCGAAGGAGGAAGAGGACGGCAGGGTCGACGAGGGGTGGGCGGGGCCGCTGGCCTCCAAGAGGGACCGCAGCGAAAGGGGAGGGGATCCGACGGCGGCGCTGGCCAGCGCGCGCCACGAGTTCGGGGAGCACGGCGGGGTGAACATGTCGATCGAGGCGTCGGCGACGTTCACGGTGATGGAGGCGGACACGATGCAACGGATGTTCAAGGGCGAGCTCGGACCCGACCGCGACCACTACATCTACAGCCGGCATTTCAACCCCACCGTCCTCAACCTCAGCCGCCAGATGGCCGCCCTCGAGGGCACCGAGGCCGCCTACTGCACCGCCAGCGGCATGTCCGCTATCTCCTCCGTCCTGATCCAGCTCTGCGGCGCCGGCGGTCACGTGGTCGCCTCCCGCTGCCTCTACGGCGGCACCCACGCCCTCCTCTCGCACTTCCTCCCCCGGGCCTGCGGCATCCACGCGACCTTCGTCGACCTCCATGACGTGGAGGCAGTGAGAGCGGCGGTGAGGGAGGGGAAGACCAAGGTCCTGTACGCGGAGACTCTGGCGAACCCGACGCTGGTGGCGGCCGACGTTCCGCGGCTGAGCGAGGTGGCGAGGGAGAAAGGGGTGAAGCTGGTGGTAGATAACACCTTCGCGCCGATGGTGGTGTCTCCCGCGAGGCTTGGGGCCGACATCGTGGTGCACAGCGTCTCCAAGTACATCAGCGGCGGCGCCGACGTCATCGCAGGTACGCCTAACACGCCACCCTCCCTCCCTTTCCCGTTCCTCTGCTTTCCCAGCGGTCGGAATAGATACTCATCATGTGTCAGTATCAAGTGTTTGAACTGGGTCTGATGCCATGTGCAGGTGTAATCTGCGGCCCGGAGAGCCTGCTGAACTCGATGATGGACTTGCATAACGGAACGCTGATGCTGCTGGGGCCGACGATGAACGCCAAGGTAGCCTTCGAGCTCTCGGGGCGACTCCCCCACCTGTCCCTGAGGATGAAGGAGCACTGCCACCGCGCCCTCGTCTACGCCACCCGCATGCGCAAGCTGGGGCTCAAGGTCATCTACCCGGGCCTGGACGACCACCCCCACCACGCCCTGCTCGCCTCCATCGCCAACCCCGGCTACGGCTTCGGCGGCATGCTCTGCCTCGACATGGGCACGGAGGAGCGCGCCAACGAGCTGATGCACCACCTCCAGAACACCACCCAGTTCGGCCTCATGGCTGTCAGCCTGGGTTACTACGAGACCCTCATGTCCTGCTCCGGCAGCAGCACCAGCAGCGAGATGAGCCCCGGGGAGAGGGCACAAGCCGGCATCTCCCCCGGCCTCATCCGCTTGTCCGTGGGCTACAGCGGCACGTTGGAGCAGCGGTGGAGCCAGTTCGAGAGGGCTCTCGCGCTTCTGCACCCTCCTCCTCCGCAGAAGCAGCAACCATATCTTCTTCTCTCAAGTGTCGCAGAGCAGAAGACTGTTGCTTCGTCACCTGCCCATTTCCGCTCCGATGCTATTTGACGACGAAATAAAATAAGATGTCGCCTAATAGAGGTAAAGAACTGTAACTCGCCAAAGTATTGTCTGTCCTCGAAATCAAATTAATATTTTTAAAATTAAAATCAAAGTTAATTTGATTTGATTCGAACTGATCAATTGAATCGAAGAAGAGTATCCTCCCAAATAATTTTGATCTGTGGACGGATCAGATTGGGTTCAAGTCACGCAAATGTGGCGCATGACTCAGTCCGACCACATTGTAGTTCACAGCGACTTCAATTAGGGAACCTTAAGAGTTCTGAATAGGGGATTCAATTTCGATTGGCAAATGGGATCATCTTGACGTCCCACCGCCACCATGTTTCGGAAGCACCATCCTCTCACGCAAGCAACGAGCGACAGGCGTCGACGCGACGCTGCTCCACCACGGTGATTCAACCCGAACGCCGTCGAATAAGAACCGCCCCCTCCCTCCCTCCCTCTTAACCCTGTCTCTTCGTCGAGGAAATGACCGTTGCCACCACCGCTAACGGCGAAGAAGATGACGACTAACGCGACCCTCCCAGCCGCCTGCGCCAACCGTCACTACCTCACCCGCCCCCACCCCCACCGCCACGGCCGCGCCGCCGCATCTGCCGCCGCCATCGTCGCCCTTCTCATCGCCACCTCCGCATGGCTCTCCCTCGTCTTCAACTCCCCCTCCCTCCGCCTCCACTACTGGTCCCACATCCGCTTCTCCGCCTCCCCCCTCCTTTCCTATTCCTCATTTCCCCCTCTGTCGGGCCCCTCCCCCCGCCTCCCTTCCACAGATGCCCCTCCCTCCCGCCACCACCACCGAGACAACGAGGGCGATGACCGCCTCGCGCCGCTCCACCTCCGCCACATTGTCTTCGGCATCGGCGGCTCCGCTCACCTCTGGCAGCGCCGCCGCGAGTTCGTCCGGCTCTGGTGGCGTCCCGGCGCCATGCGTGGCTACGTCTGGCTCGACGACCGCGCACCCCGCAACTCCTCCCTCGCCCGATCCCTCCCCCCGGTCCGCGTCTCCGAGGACATCTCCCGCTTCCGCTACACCAACCCCACCGGCAACCCTTCCGGCCTCCGCATCGCCCGCATCCTCGCCGAGACCGTCCGGATCGGCCACCGTGGCGCCCGGTGGTTCGTGCTCGTCGACGACGACACCATCATCTGCCCGGAAAACCTCGTCGCGGTGCTCGCCAAGTACGATTGGACCGAGATGGTGTACGTCGGGGGGCCATCGGAGAGTCACTCGGCCAACACGTACTTCAGCCATTCGATGGCGTTCGGGGGCGGTGGCATCGCCATCAGCAATCCTCTGGCTGAGGCTCTCGCCGGGATGATGGACGAGTGCATCGAGAGGTACCCGAAGCTGTACGGCAGCGACGACCGGTTGCACGCCTGCGTCTCTGAGCTCGGAGTCCCTCTAACTCGCGAGTATGGTTTCCACCAGGTGTGTGCTTGGTAAATCTCAATCCTGAATCAAATCTTTTGCTCATTTAGTATCTCTCTTTTGCAATTGATGCTTCTGATGATAGCAAGTAAAACAGATGTCTTTGGATTCTTGATGTGAGGATTTATTGTATTGCATTTCACATTTCTTTTCTTGATTGTGCAAGTAAAACATATGTCTTTTGATTCTTGATGTGAGGATTTGCTGTATTGCATTTCACATTTCTTTTCTTGATTGTGCATTCAGCCTCTTTCAGAACCTATATCTGATGTTAATAGAAGACATAGATAATGAAATATATGGCATGATTTCACTAAAACTTTTGTAAATAAATTGCTAGTTTTTCCATTCTAAAAAAAGCTGTTGCTGTGTTATTTTCCAGCTTCCTAAATGGAATTTCTAGACACATTGCCCAACTCTTGCAATTTCTAGAGATCAGCATCTTCTGAAATTAATCTGAAGCCAACTTTCTTTACATAATCAACCAAATACCTCATATAATTCCACCAAATTGTTGTCACTTATTTTAAAGATGACACTTTCTTGTTTTTGTCTCAGTGGGATATTAGGGGAAGTGCCCATGGTCTGTTGGCTGCCCACCCTATTGCTCCTTTCGTCTCAATACACCATGTTGAAGCTGTTGACCCCCTCTACCCTGGCTTGAGCTCTCTTCGAAGCCTGAAGCTTTTCACCAAAGCTATGGAGTCTGATCCTCTAAGTTTCTTGCAAAGATCAATTTGTTATGATAAGAGGAAGAAGCTTACATTCTCAATCTCGCTGGGTTACGTCATCCAAGTGTTCCCGTCCATTGTCCTTCCACGAGAGCTAGAACGCTCTGAACGGACTTATGCCGCTTGGAACAAGCTTAATTCCAGGAATGAATTTGATATTGACACAAGGGATGCATACAGGTCTGTGTGCAAGAAGCCTATTCTATTTTTCTTGAGAGATATTGAAAGAGTTGGAAATACAACTCTAAGTTCATATAGAAGAGCTAAGGGGAGGGATGATCTCAAGAACAAATTATTATGTTTTCCTCGATCCCTTCCGCTGCCTGACGTGAATGAAATTCAAGTCTTTGGTACTCCAATGAGAAAAAATTGGCATTTGGTTTGTTCTCTATTTTGAATGTCCTTTTAGGTCTTGACTAATATTTTGTACCAGTTCTTGAAATCATTAAATCTTTTCCATTTTCTTAACAGGTACCTAGAAGGTTGTGCTGTAAGCTAAGTCAAAGACATAATGGGACTCTGGGAATTGCAGTTGGACAGTGTGAGCGTGGAGCTTCTGGATCTGCTGCTGATTCCCTGTGACCATTAAGGAGCATTAACTTGTATACCATCTGACCAGATAGAATGCCTGATACATGGCGATCGTCATAAGCAAAAGTTTCTATTGGTTCCAGGCTTCAAGTTTATTATCTCATGCTTGGAGTTGTTCTTTGGAAAATGGAGCATTAACATTTCGAAAGGTAGGCCTTACAGGGATGATAATTTTTTTTGGTAGTTTATTATTTTTAGTATCTAGTCAAATGAAGAAAAGCAATATGGAGATATTCTTAGGCTTCAAATTATGTCAAAAAGAATTTCATCAGTCTGATTTTGAACTTAATGCTTAGATACCTGTACATAGATGTTCTCTTCTTGTGCGATTTATGGCTAAATGCTTTATTTCTTAAATGTAATGACGAGAATGCTCAGTCTTAAACTGATTCTTATACTCTCATGACTTTTATAAATGATGTTGTGATAGATTGGACCTCGAATATTGTGGTAGTCAAACTGCAACAAAATCGTAGAAACTGTCTCCTCATGTAACCTTTAAGTTTATTTTTTACTTATCTGTGCACATAACGTTGGATGATAGACACTGTGCCATCTCTCATTTTTTATAGTTCAATCAATGTAACAATAGAGATATAAGTCAACCACACAACACTCGTGTTCCCTAAGGAATTACATAATTCCCCATGTCAAGTATGCTAGACTATGTTCTAAATACTAATTGGACCTTTATTCTTGCATTTCTGCATGTATAAATTATCATGTACATTAAGGAGACAACATGCCCAATGAGTACACAAGTTTGTTGAAGCAGGTACAATCTTACTTTTGAACGAATTCCCTTGGAAATATGCTGAATCCATGAACTGATGATTTTGCCAAGTATGTAATATCATGGTTAAATAAGTAGATCTCATTCCTCGAACAAATATGTCAAACTGGTGCTTGAATTTTTAAATGTTTTGAGGATTGGGAAAAGTGTTCAAGACAATTGCATCATTATGTTCTGAACTATTCCTGACATTACACCTTCTGTAAACATCATTTGGCTTTGACTTACATGTGTCTGACTTCAGTTTCATTTGCATCAGCAGATCTGTAAGTTCATGAATCTCAAAGGGCATGAGCTGCGTATTTGAACACCCTTATGCAAGTGCATATTCACATTTAATATTTTTGCATTTGGATTCTTCATTATAAAGCAACGAATTTACTTCATAATTCTAAAACAAGAATCGCTAATGACCAGAAATGGAGAATTCATCTTTCTTGTTGAGTCGATAAAAACAAGTAAATTTCTGATGTGGGCTACTAGTAACTCTACGTAAGTGTAATTTATATGTGAGAAGAATAACAGTGAGAAAGCATAGGGCTTTGGCCACTCATTTTTTATGGGACTCAATCACTTATCAAGGATTAAGAATGAAAAAACATGACAAGAGAGATGGGGGCTTGAGTTTTGAGTTTGATGCAAGAAGCAACAGGATGGAACCTAGAACAATGAAATTATGGTTTCTCCTTTAGGATGTAAGTGTATTTGTCTTGATACTTCTGCCTTTGTTACTAAACTATTTAATTAGCTGTAGTGTTAAGTCTGTTACAGTTTGATATTTGTTACAAATCATATTAGATGATGTAAACAGATATATGAAGTTTGGGTACAATCTTATGCTAAAGCCTGAAGAAATCAAGACTCACAAAGACAGAACTCTGGAGATGACATCGGGTTAGGTTATTGTGAAATTGTTTTATGGCTTGATTTGGCTTCTGTATCTCTATCATGTGCTTGTGAAATTGTTTTCACTTAGTTCATATTGTTCAAGTTGCTAATTACTGTACTAATTGTTCATATGTTTGTCACTGTATTCAATGATCCATATCAAAATTAAGAGTACCAATTTCATCATGGTCTTTTACTCTTAAAAATGCATTCTTTTCAGTGTCATCTACCCCTTTACACATCTTTTTTGGTTGGCTAACATCTTAAAGTGAACTCCTGTTGTGATAGAGTTGTGTCCGGAAACATCTCAGGCCATTGTACTTCTTCTTCCTTGCAGGGATATGGCAGCAGAGCATGTGAAGGCCCATCTGCAAACCTCTCGAGTCTTCTTCATCTGATGAGCCACACAAAGGGGCAGCTCTCCCAACCTGCAAGCTCAAAAGTAAGTACCAGAGCCGAGGTTAGGTGTGTTTCCACCACCACCACCACCACCACCACCACCTAATCCTTCCTCCAATTCAATGGGATGTGCCTCGTTCAATGGCTTTCCCACATGGTTCTCGAATGAAGGCCGGCGGGCTCGCATTAACCCGCCGCATGCGTCATTTCGCGGCCACCTTTAAAGTCGGAGTGGGTGTTGTGGACCGCAGGAGTTGCAGATCTCGTTGGAGCAACTCATCTCCATTACTGCCTGTTGGCTCGCTTTAGCTGTCCACTTCAATTTCCTCGCATATCAGACCTTTGGTATGTATGATTTATGAGTTATGATGGAGAGAATATCGTTAATCATTTATCATTCGATTCAGTATGACATCCCAGCGGAAAGAAAAAGATACAAGTTATCTAAAACAAATAGTTTTAAGTTGTTTTCACTCCTATTACATACGTGGATGGAGAGTCAAATATTGTTCTCTCAAAGAATATTTTACCAAATATTTGATCCCTTCAGTTCTAAGAGTTAACTTTCAACGTAGCAAAAAATATTATTTTTTTCACAATTTATGATTACTAACTTGAGCGGCAAAGGAATCGGATTAGGAAATTTTTTTCAATCTTGGTCTTCATGTATATGATATCTTGGGAGCTCAATGTTTTCATCTCGATTGCACCTTGGACAACCATGTCTCTTATCGTTAGAAGCATTCGATGGTAATATCAATTAATGGAGCACATCGTAGCTTTTCATGTCTAGATGTTATTATATGGCACACCGGACGCACTAATATGTCGCACCTTCTCAGCAATGTTAAGAGACCCAACATGAGAATAGTATGCTCACATGAAGTCATGTCCATGTGCTCTTTCGCCCAGCTATGGATAGCCCTTCGCGTAGTCTAGGACATTCTCAAACTCTTTCTACTAGTCTCGGGCTAGCGTAGTCTCGGGCTAGCGAAGGTTTCTTATCGTTGGAGTTGACTATTTTACAAAGTTGGTGGAAACTGAGCCGCTAGTGTCAATCGTTGCGAAGTAGATCGATGGATCTGTATGGAAGAATATTATCACTCGTTTCGGAATCCTAAGAGTTATAATAATTGAGAATGAAACTCAATTTAATAATGCAAAGTTCAAAAAGTTTTATCAATGGAGTTCAACTAAAGTTCAACTCTATAGCTCATCCTTAGACCAATGGTCCCATCGGGGTCACCAACCGAGTCATTGGAGCAAAAGACATAGGTGGGTGAACTATCAGGTACCTTGTGAGCCTCCCGAATGACACCAGGTTGGGTGAAGTCATCATTCAACTTGGCCTTCGACACTAAGATTGTCTTGTCACCCAAGATAGTATTTCTAACACCTTGGGTTGAGAAATTTGATGAAAAACCTTCAAAGGACTTCCAGCTGTACTCGACCTTATCAACAAGGTTAGAGCATAAATACACCTAAAGCAATGACCAAGTTTTACAATCGAGATGTTCGCCCTCAAGGAGTCGAATTGGGAGACTTGGCGCTTCGAAAGGATGAAGTCAATGACCCAACTAGATCTTAGGGTAAGCTAGCATCAAATTAAAAAGGATCCTTCCAGGTTATCGAACTGGGGGACAAATGATAAAGAAGATATCATCAACCATTCATCATCTGGTATGTGTCCTCCGCATGGCATCCCGGTTGAAAGAAAAAAATAAAAGTTACCCCTCGTCAGTTTACCGATGTGGACATAGGTCTAAAGCAAAACAATTATAAGTTGTCTCCGCTCTTGTCGCCTATGTAGACAAAAGGCCAAACTGAGATTATTATAGGTGGTGGTTAAATACTACCCCCTTGAAGAATATTCCACTAAACATCATCCCTTCACTATTAGGTATAAGAGCTAACTTTCAATATAGTAAAGAGGGTCTTTTTTTTTTCATCACTCATGACCATACTCATCTATATTGGATTACTAACTTGGGCATTGAAGAGATTGAATTAAAAAACCATTTTCGACCTCGATTTTTGTACAAATGGCACATTGGGGATTCGATGTTTCCATCTCGACTAAACATTAGACAATCCTATTCATACAGGTTTGGACGGACCACGTTGGACTAACCAAAACATCAATGAAATCTTACTATAATAAGGTAAAATATATTTTTTTAGTTAAATAAAAATATTAATAATTATAAAAAAAAATTATTAATTTCCTTTATCTAGAGATCATTTCATGATGTATTCCAAATTTTCTAATCCGCTTAAATCATATTGTGATAGCCAAGTAGTTGCCTGAATTCAGATTTAAATATTGTAAGATTCATCAAATCGATCTCAAATAATTAACAGAACACTTCATAATCGGTAGTCATTATATCGTTTAAACAAGTGAAACATCAGGAAATGTCTGATCCGAAGAGATGGTATTTGTAGTTAGTTTTAACGTCATCTACCTCAGGATTGACTTCAACCGGAGACACAGTGTTCTCCGAGAGGAGCGAAAACCTGGACCAATCAATCTAGAGAGGAGCAAAAGATCTAACATGGGTTTACTCCGGCCATGCACGACAGCAATTCCACCAGGCAAAGGTATATTTGTTTGTCCCATTGAAGTGTCAGCCGCTTCGACACTTGGGGTGATGTGCCATCATCAAGCTTTAAATCCATCACACCTTTTACCACATCCTCCTCCTGTCCTTTAACCAGTTACTGCAAGCTCCTTTCCACCAGGAAATGCCTCAACATGATTGAGATGAGTCCTGCTGCAAAACCAGGAAATGCCTCCAACATGTCTGCTAATAGGCAGTCAGACTCACATCAATTTGCATCAATTATTTTATCGTGATAAATAATAATAGTATCACAATCGATCTACATCTAAAACTATTTATTTTGGATCAATAGTTCATATTTATGTGCCAATGAGTCCACATCCCCACCACTCTCCCTCTCACTTCTAGTTTGTGGTCCTAAGAACTCAGTGGAACCCATCTGCATCACTAATAGCTACAGCCCGGCCCAGTGGCCACATGACGGGCCCATCACCACCCATCATCCCAAGGTTCAATATGGTCCCCTCGACACTGTATGAGACAGTAATATAATTTGATGTATCGAGAGTCTCTTCCATCGAGATCATACTATAGTCGTATTGATCCATATGTATACCAAATAATTTTAGGCGTCATAGACCAATTATTTTGAGACATCCCATTCGATAAGTCATCATTTTCTATCGTAACGATGACAACAAATGAGATCCTCTTTACTATGTTCATAATTATGATCATAAAATAATCAATTTATGAAAGAACGAAGGAGGTAAGGATATGATGGGGGAAGAATATACAGATTAATATTTTGAATCTAAAATAAGATTTCAAATCCTCAATAAACTCGTTCTAGTAAACAAGGAGGAGGTGGACAAACGAGGCAAACTTGCTTGTCCGACGAGGAGGTAAATAGTGTAAGCTAAACTTTTTTTATCTTTCTTCCTCTAATCAGTGGAGAGAATCCAAAGGCACAAGAACAAGAGATTCCTTGCCGTAACTGGATTGAACTGTTTCCCTGTTCATATCCCCACGGTAAGTTTCAATCTTGTGTGCACAGCAAAGGCAAACAAATAGTAGGTTATGAAGCTTCGTCCTTGCTTCCTCTCTCTCTCTCTCTCTCTCTCTCTAGTTTTGTCATAAAGAATGCATGGAATTAGCTGGGTAAAATAGAGGTTTAATATGTGGATATAGGTAGTTGGTAACAAGGAATAATTGAGGGAAGATTTGAATACAATTAAGAATATATTTGTTTTCTATATACTTAATTTTTGGAATGAAAGATTATTCATATCTATCTATCTATCAGTAGTAAATTGACTTGTAAATCATGGAAGAATGTAGAGATGTTGATCAGTAATGATCAGAACGACAGTGATTGTATTAGGCTTATATGAATTTTAATACATTAATAAATAAATAAATAATTAGAGAGAGAATCGTAGGGTGACAAGATGTGTATAGGGTTATATTTTGTGGGGACTGCATGGGTGTAGGTTCTTCCCGTCACGTTCTCCTCCTCTCATGTGAGACCCAATTTACTTCCAGCGGTGACAATGTGCTCTTGTCTCCCTTCCCTTCCCTTCACATCCTCCTCTCCTTCTCTTACCTAATCTAAAAAAATGAGAATTTTGTGTTAGATTATTTTGTCTGCACATCAAACAAACGCTTGGAAGTATGAAGAGATGCCTTATTCTAAAGGCAAAAGATCTCCCAAATCTACACTAAAATTCCCCTTTGGAGGAACAGGGACCCAACTCTCCCACCATTTCAAACTGTGTTAGCTGGAGTTGTACTCAATGAGGTTGTGTTAGATTCTTGTTTACCTGTGTGCCAACCTTTAATCACTTAATTAATGTGAGTGGCAGAAGAGTAAGGTATATAATTTACTACAACAATATGTTAGCTTCCTACATGTACTGCTAATCCTCTCTCTACCAATCTCTTTTCTTTTCCTTCCTTGCCTTCTCTTCCCCTTTCTCTCTTCCATCTTTATTTTTTTTTGTAGTATGTGTAAGTATGTGCATTTTGTGTATGGTATTATATATATCTTTGACAGCATACTTTCTCTCTCTACCTATCTTTCTCTCTTTCCAGTTGTACCTGCTCCCATCTTTTTTATTCTTTTTTTCACTCCATGTACTGATTTCCTTTTTTCCAATTTTTGATTCCTCCAATCCCCTACACACCATCCTCTCTTCCTCTCCTCCCACCCCACACACACACAGAGAGAGAGAGAGAGAGAGAGAGAGAATTCCATACCTGTTACTGGCAAGAGAACGACAGGCTGTAGCTGCCTAACACTGTAGTTACTGCAGAACCATGCAGCAGCAGCAGGAAGGAGGGTCACAATTCGGGGGGCCTTCCTCGGAGACGGCCGGTCACAGAGTTGGCGCCTTCCTCCAGCCGCCGCCGCTGTTGGCGGAGGCCGCTTCCCCCATCAGCAGTCGTCGCCCGCCGCCGGAGGACGCTGCCGCCGATTTCGACGAGATGGGTCCCGCGGTGGCCGGCGGCGGCTTCCCGGACGAGGATGCCGAGCGCGGCGGCGCGCCCGGTAACCGCTGGCCGAGGCAGGAGACGCTGGCGCTGCTGAAGATCCGCTCCGAGATGGACGCCGCATTCCGCGATGCCACCATTAAGGGCCCTCTGTGGGAAGAAGTCTCCAGGTAAAACGATCCTAAATTCTTCGGAATTCCCTCCGAAATGTGGAGCCTAAAGCTCTGCTGCTCTCGTCCATGGATACACAGATCACCTGCTTTTGGTACTATGCTTTGTGATGTGCTACTTCACCACTCCGAGAATTTCCCATAAATAGTTGTGTACCGATCTACGTTTGGATCCGTAGCGGTGATGTAGAGCTTCAAGTAGCTCTGGCAAGAAGATGAACCAATAACTTCGAGAGGGAGGGTCGGTTATTTCCTTCTCCCGTGCCCTATTCATGCCTTGTTCTCTCTCTTTTCCCACTACCTTATCCTCCTCCTGTTTACAACTATTTCTTCCCTGAGTTCCATGAAAGATGCCTCCGCTACGCCAATCCCAACCTAACCAACATACAAAAAAGTACGCACTCCCCTAATGCAACCATCGAGGCGCCTTCGTTTTTAATTTCAGTTTCCTTCTCGCAACCCTTTTCTCCTTTTGCTAATTTATATTATTAGTTCAGGTCACAATCGGCGGGTGATTCGGTGTAGATGCCGTTTGTGTGGGTGTATGCCGGCATGATGGTCTTGTTTTCATCTCTTTCTTCTCCTCCTCCTACCTCCTTCTTGTTCTCGGTCTGTTTAGTCCGTGGAATTCTCCTTCTTCATGGTATTGGGAGTCGTTTTTGATAGGTTGGTGAGCGTGTTTGGTTGGTGGTGGTGGTGGGCAGGAAGCTGGCGGAGTTGGGCTACGAGAGGAGCGCCAAGAAGTGCAAGGAGAAGTTCGAGAACGTGCACAAGTACTACAAGCGCAAGAAGGATGGCCGGGCTGGCCGCCAGGACGGCAAGACCTACCGCTTCTACAGCGAGCTCGAGGCCCTCCATAGCACCGGCAGGGGAGGCGCCACCACGCCGGCTGCGATCGCCGCACGTCCCCTAGCTGCTGCCACGTCGTCCCCCTTTAGCTTCACCACCGGAATGGCGGGCCCCTCGGGTACTAGAATTCAAGTCTCGCCCATCTCCGGCGGAGCTCCACCGCCCGTGACCATGCCGACCAGTGTCGTCCCCGAGCACGGCGCACAAGGAGTCTCGAGCTCTGCTGCCGCTGCAGCTGCAGCCGGGCTCGGCTTCTCGTCGAATTCTTCATCCTCTTCGTCGTCGGAGTCGGACGACGCGGACACCGAAGAGGCTGGTGGGGTCGGGAAAGGACGCAAGAGAAAGCATCGAGGGAGCGCTCGTTATAGGCGGCAGATGATGGCCTTCTTCGAAGGGCTGATGAAGCAGGTGATGGAGCGGCAGGAGGCCATGCAGCAGCGTTTCTTGGACGCGATCGACAAAAGAGAGCAGGACCGGATGAAACGAGAGGAGGCGTGGCGGCTGCAGGAGATGTCGCGGCTCAGCCGGGAGCAGGAGCTGCTGGTCCAAGAGCGCTCCATGGCGGCGTCCCGAGACAGCGCAGTCGTCTCCTATCTTCAAAAGATCAGCGGTCAATCCATCCCATTGGCCGCCGCCGCCTCCATCGCACCCCGTCCTCCACAGCCGTCGCACACTCTGCCGCCACCAACCCTGCCGCAACAAGCTCAGCCACCTCAGCAGCAACGTGATGCTCAGCAGTCATCGGCGACACAGATGGCGCCGATCAGTTCAGAGGCTCAGGAGGGTCAAGGCAGCGGGAGCTTCGAGCCGACGTCGTCCTCGAGGTGGCCAAAGGCGGAGGTCCATGCGCTCATCGATCTACGGAGCAGCCTCGAGTCGAGTTACCAGGACTCCGGCCCTAAGGGTCCCCTCTGGGAGGAGATCTCCACGGGAATGCAGCGGCTCGGGTACAACCGGAGTGCCAAGAGATGCAAGGAGAAGTGGGAGAACATCAACAAGTACTTCAAGAAGGTGAAGGAGGGCAACAGGAAGCGGCCGGAGGACTCCAAGACTTGTCCTTACTTCCACCAATTGGACGCACTCTATCGCAAGAAACTGCTCGGCAGTAGCGGCGGCGGCACTAGCAGTAGCAGTGTGGGAGTCAAACCACAGCAGGAGCCAATCTCACAAGAACAGCACCAACAGCGGCCTGCAACGAAGACCCCGGGCGACAGTGGCAACGATAACGGAAACAGTAATGGTGGGAATGCTGAGGCCGGTGAAGGTCGCGATGGTGCACAAGTGCAAACGAGCGAAGGAGGACATCGGCCCACCTTCTTTGAAGAAGCGATGAAGAAGGTTAGTAGCAAGGCTCACTTGCTCTCACCAGCTATTTCCCATACTCTCTCGTGATCCAATCACTTCATTGCGGCATTCGAAGCCAGAAGACATCGTGAAGGAGCCGATGGAGCGAAGGCAACGTCAACCGGTGATGGATGACCCTGATAAGGTGGACGAGCCCGACAGCAATAACTTGCACGAAGATGAGGAGGACGACGACGACAATGAGGACGACGAGGACAGCAAGATGCAGTACGAGATACAGTTCCAGAGGCAGAGCGTGAGCGGCGGCGGCGGCGGCGGGAACGCATCGACGACGGCATCGGCAGCAGCGACTACTGCAGCAGGTTCCTTCTTGGCCGTGGTTCAGTAGATTTGGTATCTTAGCCCTCTCAATTCCTCCTTCCTCTCGGTGCATACATTCTGTCACCAACGCAACATCCACGTCCAAATCCTACCTTGTCCCATGCGTGCATCTTCGTCTCTCACGTCACATACATTTACCTCCTCCTACACCTTCATCGTTACCTGAGTGGCATCATAGGTGTAACACAACATAACAGACATATATGGGCGATGACGCTCACGGTGTCGTCATATTTATTGATCTGTCGCGGAATAAGAAAGGACATGGGTCGAATAAGCTCGCGCACACAGCTCCATCTCTGCTTCTGGATCACGATGAAGAGACAGCTTCTCTCTCTACTTCTCGATCTCTGCTGCTGTATGCTTTTGCCGTCGTTCTCTTTCTTGGTAGCACTACATATTGGTGAGATTCCAGACTGGAAAAGACCAAGAAGGAAGAGAGAGAGAGGAAGGTGAAGTAAGGTGGAGTCCCAACTCGGCGACACTGTACTCAAATCACCAAAGGTTACTGCAGGCAGTAATGAAGAGGATACAGAGTGCTTTTTCCATGGGAAAACGTGGAGGCTGCAAGGGGACTACCTATGCCGTTTGTGATGCCCAACCTCCTCCCCTTCTGACTTTTGTTTGTGGAGGACCTGTTTTCGTTCTCAGCTCTCGATGCTGCCCTGTGGCGGCAGCAGCAGCAGCAGCAGCAGCAGAGGTAAAAGAAGAGGACAGAGACACCGCCATGGTTTCGGTGAGCTCAGGTTGCTGGACGTCCAAAAATGTCCTTCGTTGCCACCCTCCGCGGCGCGTGGAATGACCGAACCGCCCTCCTGGATGAGACGGCGACGCCTCTTAGGAATCATCTGGGTTCAGTGTACGCGACGGCTTCGTGCGCATCAAAGACGTACGACGTGATGTGGCGAGCATGTGCATGCACGCCCCCGCGGCGACAGTGTGGTCGCGGCTGGGACCGCCCCGCGGGTCCCACTCGGGGGGTGCGGGGCCCTAATCTGCATCATTCCGCATGTTCACCGCACCGTCGTCGATCGCCAGAGAGATCAATGACGAGCCACGTGTCGTTGTGATCGGATTGGGAACGTGGAATTTGAACCCTTCGATCACACTCTGACTCAATTCCTCCATAAAAATAATATAATTTAGATGGAATAAAAAATAATTTGTCAACTCTTTAGGGTACGATTACATGTCACCGATTTGATTTACTGAAATAGACTCGACTTGTTGATGTTTTGAGTACCGTCACATTCGACTTAGCTGAGGAATTTTCTAGAAATGAGAAATGTATGCATTTCATGTCTCTTTTTTCATTTTAATTTAAAAATAAAAGATGCTCATAGCCTATTTTATAAAAAAAAAATACATCGGTGATTTATTCGATAAATCTTCTCCAACGATCGAGTTAGTATACATCGGCAAATGTCCAAGACTCCAAGTATTCATGATCATCAAGACAATGATATGTATATATATATAAAAGGAAAAGATGATGGGACGAGGAAGTTATATTTTATATGCCATAATACTTATTAGATTATGGATTATCACTTAAAATTATAGGATTGTTTTACATCTCATCTTTTATCTCTTAGAAGTAATATTTTCAAAATAAGATTTAAATAAATAAATCTTATATATGTAACTTAAAATATTAGATGGATTACTAATATTAATTGATCATGCAAATTTTCACAATGTTATTTGATAATATAATTGATCCAGTAATCTATTAAATCTAAATTCAAGACAATGCTAATAATCTCATCAAATCCTCACAAACCAAATTAAGTTTCTTTTTATAATTCTTATATAAAACGAAATTACTGGAGTCAGATTTTTTTCTGAAATCAAATTAAAAATGGGGTCAGAAAGACAAAAGAAACTTAAAATGTGTCTATACATGTTGTTATTCTCATTCAAAGTAAAAAAAGAAATAGAGTAAAGCTGAGGAAGTAATGGAGTCGTCCGAGTTTTTTGTTCGAGGAGGACAATAATTAAGGAAAGCAATGCAAGTGTGTTAATTTGCTGCCATGCAATTAAACGTAGCTATCAATCTTTTCGAGCATTGCTTTTTTGGCAAATTCCACACAGTTTATGATAGCAATGCGTCGTTCTCTGTGTTAGTGAATAGACATCTCCTTGTTCATTCTTGCACGCGACAATGGATGCTGTCGATGAAAGTTCAACTTCTTGTTTGCTTGTGGTGGGATAGATGCGTGGCTGTGATGCAGCTGCTGGTAAAGAGATTCTGAAGAACAAAGCACCAGGTAAGATTATTAAGCTTAGAAAAGACGTCAGAATTATCATAGCAGACAACTAGCATTGTGCTGGGGTGCAAGAAGATAGGATAGAGAAGGGCATGCATGACCTTTGCATGGAGACTAACATGATGCGGTGGACATGTTTGTGGTGGACTAGGAACTCCGGAGTGCATTCCATCTGTTTGCACTCGATCATGGTGATCCGAAGAGAAAACTGTGTGTGTGTGTATGTGTTAGAAGGTCGTGTTTTCTTTTGATGTACACAAGGAGAGCACGAGTTGGCTCCCTACGTGGGCTTTGAGAGCAACCAATTGATGGCTGGTCTTGGGCTGGTTCGAGACTATCTCTAAGAATTAGGCTTCGACACATGGCAGACTGATAAATATTTCAGGTGACATCTGCCGGTCTGACAATTAGCTTCTTTATGATGAAATTAATTTAAATAATTAAAATTAGATAAAAATAAAAGATAAAAAAATTTAGATTAAGATAAATAATTGATGGTGAAAAGATTTATTAGGATATAATAAATTTCTTAATTATTTTAAGCAATGATTGTAATTTTGTATCGTACTAATATACTGAGCGATACGTCAAGATGTACCTAACAGTATTCCTAAAAAAATATAAAAATTAATTTTAATATCAAACTATACTAAAAATTATATATATATATATATATAATTATTTTTATAATAAAAATATAAAAAACAATAATATATAAAGATATAAAAAGATACGACGTACCGAACAGTCGTCTCATCTACAACCTTCAACATCAAGGAGGTGGGGAGAAGAAAGCGACATGGACATCGGAAGGTTCTTCGTGTGGTGGTAGTGGACAAAGGAGACCATTCGAAGATGAAGAAGGCTGAGGTCTTCATTGCCTTCCTCGCGGCCACCTCTTCCGTTAGTCCCATCATCGCCTCCCCTGATCCTTACGCCTCCAGCTCCCCCTCCAAAGAGGTATGTCTCTCCTCCCTATTACCTCTTAGATTAAGATCATCGAGGGAGGGTAGCACCAGATCGGGATCGAGAAAAAGAGTCAAAGATAAGTTCACGTCGAGGTTCAACGGGCTCAAGTTTAGCGAGACGCTAGTGATGGCGCATCGATGACTTCACGGTATTCTTTCTTGATGCTTCTCCATCTTCTTCAATGCTTCTCTTTATTCTTCGAACGCCCTCTTCTTCCTCACCTCACCTCGTCATAGTCAGGCTGATGTTGCGTGATAGCAAGCGGTTCACGTGCTGGTCAATTGGCGGATTGATACGTACCAGACAATACGAAACGGTATTAAAATCCATGGTTTTAAAAACTTGTATTCTACTTTTTGGCTAATATAAATAAGTGTTCTTAGATAAATCAAAAGTATTACAGATTGAAGGTACTCCTTGTTCCTTATACTATTTTTTTTCTTATTTCTGAAATTATATAGAAAGCCAACAAGTACGGTAATAAAGTTTGATTCTAAGAAAATCAACAAGAGTACATCAATTCAAAAAGATGGGAAGACTAGTAAATAAAAAAAAAAAAGATGATAGGTAATCAATCTCTTCCTATCTCGAAAGTTGAAAATTATCAATTTTGGATAATTAAAACAAGAACTCTATTTGTTTCACAAGGATTATGAAATTTGATAGAAAAATAATTTTGTTGAGTATAATCTTTATGATTCTAATATTATTTAAGATCAAATGAATAACAATATATAGAAAGATGCAAGAGCCATCGCAGTGTCGAGCCCGTACGAGGCGAAGCTCGGGTTTGTCGGTAGGTCATTGATCCACGGCGTTGGACTACTTCTCCAACGGTGCAAGTATTTTACTTGTTGAAGTTGTTTTGTGAGGCAATAGTAGTGAAGAATGCACCGGCGACATTGCCTTCCATATGTAGAAATCCATCAACAGTTACCTCGAATAGAGACATTACCAACATCAACAAAATGTAATATCGTGCAAAGCAAATAAGCTTTAGAGGAACAAAATGTAATATCGTGCCAAGTATCAATAAAACACAACTTGTTATGGTCAATTTAGTTCTAATTAATTTTGACTTTGTGCAAAACTTAGAGAGAGAGGAGGAAAAAGATAGTAAAATAAACGAGAATCACTTTTAATATGCAGTGCTTTGGATTCATCCAAAAATACCTATTTATATTAGTCAAGAGATAGAGTATATATTTTTTAAATAATAAAAAAATCTATCATATCCCAATAAATCTTCTCAGCCTCATTTATTTATTTTAATCTAATTTTTTATTTTTTATTTTGTTTAATTCTAATTATTTGAATTAATCTTATCGCACTTCTTTAATTCGAAATAGTTATCTTCGAAAAAAAATATTTTTTTTCATCAAAACTTTTGTAAAGATATCGACAAGCTAATCTTTGATACTATAGTAGTACATTTAAATTTCTAATTTATTAACTAGTCTATGAATGAAATGATGTCGAACTTTAGTATGTTTGGTGTGCCCGATTCTTTATTATTGCATTAATAGACTTATTATCATAGTTAATTTTAGTTGATACTTTTTTTTTCTTTGAGATTTACTAGAATTCTTTAAAACTAAATTGTTTGACATGTTATACTTGTAGGCATAACATACTCTATCTCAAAGATTGAGAGAGCAACACATTCTTACATTTTTTATTATCCATAAAATTACACTTGAACCAAGGCTAAACATAAATCTTAAAGTACATTTTTTCTATCCCCTATACAACTAGCTCAGTCATTATTAATATAAGAATATAACTTAAGATATTTTATTTATTAAGAAAAAAGATTTTAGATATTTTTTAACTGAAATTGAGTTATTATTTCTTTGGCAAATCCTCGAAAAAAATTCTTGAACTTTGAGAATTTCCTAAATAGCACCCTTTTCTTGAATCCACCCTCGTCTCTTGCCCTACGATGCTGCTTTCCCCTTCTTACACCACATTTGTTATTGTCCATACACTCTTATCAGACCCTAAGGGCATCTCAGGTGGAGGGAAACGATCGACGAGGCCAACCTATGT